TGCACGAAAATGGGTGAAACAGAGTGAGACGCCGTTTTCCTAATTCCGTACACTGTACCCATCCAGAACCACTGCGCGGGTGGCAGCCTGGGCACTGTCTGGCTACTCAGGCCAACGAAAGCGAAAAGCAAAACGAATTTGAATGGCACTCTTGGGACCAACGCACGGCGCTGGTCTAAGGCTAGCAAGCAAGTATCAGCTCGTGTTGATGTGTATTGCGGCCGTGTGTGGCAGTTGGTCCTGTTGCCCTTCAGGTCCTTGGTGTCGACGCTTTCTCGGAGGTGCTCTGACGTATTGCTTCAGTGGGCAGCTTGCTCGTTTGGGTTTCTGACCTGAGCAGGGCCAGCGCCCGGGCGCCAGCAGAAAAGCATGGCAGTAGCAGTGTGGTCAATTGTTGCACAGTGTACCCCAAAGTAAGGACCGCAAAGGAGTCGTCGGCCCATTGATCCTCATCTTGTGGGTTACGAGGGAGCCATCGAACCCACTTTGGCGTGTCGAGATTGGTGCACTTGAGAAAAGCATTTGCGTGTGAGTAGGTTCCTCTCCATGGTCTTTTGCCGTCTCTATGAAATAATCGCCGGAGCTGCGTGCATCCTAAGGCCCGCCTTCCAATGTAGAGCAAGGTGGGTGGCACTTGGACATCCGTTAAGGAGGCACACTTGAGGAAAGCCTCCTGCTGGATCTTTCGCAGTTTGTTTGGAATTCGGCAGGTTGCTATCAGCCCGTAGAGGCAGCGGCTGTGTAGCGGACCGATGCACAGATCCAGATTGGCTGGTCCTTCCCGATGGAAGCCTTTTTTTTCCACGAGTGCGGACGCCGTGTGGGCGGAGTGCCCAGGTCATCATTGAAAGGGAAGGAAACGCGACGTGATGAGGGGGAAAAGAACACAAGCAACACAAAAACAAGCAAAAAACCCCCCAACCCCAAACAAGAAACAGAAACCAGAAGCCACAATTCCCCCTCGTCTAAGCGCGTTTCCTCTGTACCAGGGTGAGACATGTGAAAAAGACAAAAGCTGACTGTTAACTAACTAAGGGCCTGAATTCACAATGAAAGTCGGACGGCATGGTCGGCGCAAGAGCGGAGTGCAGCGAAGCCTATCAAAGGGGCCTCGCCCCACCCACCAAGCTGTGACCAAGAGGGCCACTGCATCGAATGGCAAAGACAATGATCAGGTGCTTTGCAAGACCTGCATTGTTGATTGTCAGCCAGTCTGATCCTTGCCCAGTGGCCCAGGGGAGTCAGTTGCTGCTCTGCCTAGCAAGCCATGGAAAAGGCCCATCTCGTTGCACAACCCTTTCAACTGATTGCGCGACAGAGACGAGAGGCATGTCGATTGTCAGGCAGTGGAAGCAGAGACACCGAAAGGGGTTTGCTGACGATGATGGCGCCGTCCCCCCCGAAGGGAGGTCACCTTTGCACCCCTTAGCATTCAAGGAGTGCCATTGTGGTACTCTCTGTTTCAAAAAGAGAGAGCGGCACTGAGTTGCAAAAAGTCTCCTGTTGCGTGCAAGGCCCGGGTGAAACCAGTGAAACATGGACCTACCCTAGCATGGTACTTGTGCCTCTTTGTACAGCAATGGTCATGGCGTGGCCGCTGCAAGGAGAACTAAGGTTCCCCCTGGCAACCTTCCATTACCATTTTCCACCACCCGCCTATTAGGAGCGAAAGCTAAGGCTCTCATTCCTACAGGCTCACTGTAACGCAGTTACTGGGGCCGAAAGGATGGCTTAGCCTGAGCTTTCTTGAACCTGGCTCACAAAATTGAGACCGCAGAATAGCAGTCCATTCCCACTGTCCTTTGCTTTGCCAGCTTAGCGTGTGGCTGCTTAGAAGTCGTCTCTCCATTGGTCATTGGCATTTGGCGGCAGGAATCGGAGCCATTGGGGCTTGTCCAATTGCTCGCATTTGTCAAAGGCATTGAGCCGGGCATATGTACCTCGCCATGTTTTGGTTTTCCCTTGTTTACGAACTGCTCGAAGCTGCGTACAGCCTGCAAAAGCACGCCGAGCAATGTAAAGCAGTGTTGGGATGCAGACTTCTTGCAGCGAGGTGCACTTAAGAAAGGCTTCTTGCTCAATGATGCGTAAGTTTCGGGAAAGGCTGAGTTGCTGGAGCTGTGAGCAGTGGTCCTTCCCGATGGAAGCCAACTCAACGCCTGGCGGCTCCTACATGCAGCCCGCAAAGGGGGTGACCGGTTTTATCTCAAAATTGCAGTAGTGCACAAAGAGAACCCAGCGGGTAGGGCCATTGCCAAGCTACTCACTGCTTTTGAACTTAAACCGGATCACCAGAGATATTTCGTTCGGCCGGTTAGCAGAGAGGAGGCAGAAGCTAACACTGCCTGCACAAGCTACGACCTGCGCGCCAGCGAAGCTGCCCCTTACATCCCAGGGTGCAGAGTTGTCATCGTTACCACGGGGTTAGTCTGGGACCAAAAAGGGCAAACCCATTCCACGCTCAACACACATATGGAAAATGTTGATCTGCTCATCAGTGAAGAGGCACAGCAGGACATGGACTTGAAATCTGCTTTCGCGCCAGCAGTCCCACGCCGTGCCTTCTTTCGGCTACTGCTGGGGGACCCCAGACAGAGTCCTGGTGGAGTGGCAGACGGACAGAGAGCACACCGCACTCTCCTTCTCAAAGTTTTATTGGACTACGAGCCCCCAATATCTGGTATATGCCACATGAGTTCCCAGGGGTCTTTCAGGCGCTTTTCCACCACGGTCGAGGCTTCGGACACACAGAACTTGAAGACGCAGCAATAGCCGTCAGCCGTAGGCCTTTGGGAAGCTGCTGGTTCCGCCCGGACAAAGTCAAGGCTGTGTCCCCCTTCGCCCGTCAGCTGCAGTCCACTTACAGTGATCTCCCCAATGTTGACCTGGACCTGCCGGTAGGGCTCCTGGTCGGCCTCGGATATGCGGCCACCTGCCCTGACAGCCCGCTAGACTTTCGACAAGCGCAAAGTGCAGCAGAGAGGTCGGGTGTGGCCAGTCCGCACTGCTGGAGCCTAACCAGAGTTGCCCAAGAAGTCTATGAGCCACTCATAGGAATTCAATGCCCTATGCTTTGCAGCCGGTTGGCGACACCTGGCAAATAGGCACCACATCCATCCGAGAAGATCACTTGATTGCCTCTGGGCTACGTTTCGCCCAGTGGCGCCATGCCTCGCCCAATATAGATGCAAGGAAGGAGCCCAAGAACAACCCCACGGTAAAGGTCTACCAGCTCCTTCAAGATGAGTTAGCAAGAGCGGACGGGCACCGAAGGCATTTTGGCCCTCACAACCACTCGAGAAGCAGCCCAAAATCTGCGTAATTACTTTGAAATTGCCTGGAAGACGGCTAACGCTGAAACGGCAGTCAAAGTAGCAGGTGCCACAGCCCAACACTGCATTGTCAACCATGGTGAGTCCACTTTCCTTAGCGGAGAAGGGCGATTTGGATTATGATCAGGAATGCTTCACCAGGGCAAACGTGGCTTACAGCAGGCCACCAACCTCACCATCCTTGCGTGCCCTTTGACATGCAAGGAATGCCGGGGGCCTTGCAGGTACTAGCTGCTCTCCTGCATGGCGTTCAAAGCATTGACATCTATGATGACAAGGAACGCGTGATTCGTGGCTTCCTAGATCTCACGCCGATCCAATTAGAAGAAGCCACGGCTGTCTTCCATTAGGCCCTTATGCCCCATCAAGTATGGTCTGGCCCCCTGCCAGTGTGTCTGGCAGAGCATCACCAACATAAGGTAAGGCGCTTACGCCTCGTCTTAGCCACACTGTCGCATTTGACAAAGGCTGAAATTTCCAGCCTGCGATGTGGGCCACATCTTCCGGGAGGCACGACAGAGCGCGGGCTTGTGTATGGTTATGCGGTCGATGAGATGCCTACGCCGGAATGGCTTGTCATCACAGACGGACAAGAACCCGGACATTGGAGGCTACTCCATAATAGCACTGGCCGGGGACAGCGGTGCAGTGTAGGAAATTCCCAACGATATCAACCATCCATGAATGCTGTGGAGCAGCGTGCGGCACAGGATTACACCTTTGAAGCCTTGCATCGTATTTACTTTTATGATGCGTGGAGAACACAGCCGATCCGGCGCCCCAGAGTCTGACCTAGTCCTGCCGCCGCATCCTGGCCTCCTGACACAAGGCTGTTACTGGCCGCCGCAGAATGCAGAGGAGGAGGTACTCTCCGTCTCGGACATTGCCGCCGAGACAGATGACCAAGCCTGCCAAACGCCGACCTCGCCTGAGGCACCGATGCCGTTATGACAGATGAGGAGACAAACGACATTGTCTCGGTCCTCAGTTCCCCTACAGTGCCGTCCACCCTGCCGAGCACGGTCCACCAAGAAGAGGCTGCTCCCCCATGAGAGATAAAGAAGCGGAAGCCAATCCATTGGAGGAAGCGGGTGACTGCCTTAGCAATCGTCCAGCGTCCTCCAGCTCACGGCTAGTCAATATGAATTCTTCTTGAGATATGGATGTTAAATCTTTTTGTTTGGATGTCCAAAAAAATGAGACATTGAATAGTCTCCAAGACGCTTTGGAGAAGTTGATTTGACCTTGGCTCATGTCTTTGTACTATGACATGTACAGTCAAGACAGTGTACATTGGCTATAAAATAACCATGTCGCCTCTAAGGGCCCATGTGACAAAAGGATTGTGTGCAAATCTATGTCATGTGATCGCGGCGGTGGTCGATCGTTATTTTCAAGGTAATTTACCCATCTCTTATGGGTGCATATTAAAAGCTGTAACACTTAATCAACAGAGCAAACAACAACAACAATAACAACAACAACCACCACAACAACAACAATAAACACATTATAATAGTCATATTTCAAAAAGTGGGATTGTTTTCAAACTCACACCAAATATGGCGCAAGTTGGTCACACGCGTCGATTAACTAAATAGTTTTTTGTTTTCCCAACAGTTTCCATGTTGTGAGCTGCCAAAGTTGTCAGCAAATGGAGCTACGTGCAGATGCGGAGCCGTTTTGGCGCAATTTTTGTTAATTCGACAGCATGCCTCCTGCTCGATCATGTCTGACTCCACTCTTGGAAGGGCCAGGGTCTGATGTAAGCACTTTGACTCCCCACCATTCGGCTGATTCAGATTCGATGTCTGATCTTGAAAGCGATGACGGCATGGAGCCGGTGAAGTCAGTGACTGGAAAAGGCTCGGTCTTGATTTAAAAGTATTGGGCTGGAGATTGTTAACCTCCAACGTTTCATTTTACAACTGTCCATGTTGCAGCTTTGACCGGGCATGTTTCTATTTCAGATTTTGGTTCGCAGGTCTGGGTCCATTGCCACCAGCCGAGCCATTTGGTTGGGAAACGTTCAAGGCTATTTATTGTCCACCTCCACCACTTTGGGAAGACGCAACTATGGAGGCCTTGCTCCAAGCAACCTCGAACGAGGAGATGATGGCTTGGAAGAAACTCTTTGTTTTCTACACCTTAGTGGTTGATTTGAGTGAGGACGCCAAATTTTTGTATGAAAACCACTGGCCCGAGTTGCACGAAGTAAAGTTTAAGGAGCTCAAGGGCCTGCTTTGGAATGAAATTCGTTCGCAGAACAAGGCAATCAAACGCCGACGCATTGCTTAGATTGCGCAGAGGCATGTGGCCGTAAACAGACAAACGCAACTGTTTGTGGCTCTTTCAATGCCAATTTTCCTGGTGCGCCAGAAGCATTTTACACACGTTGCTGTCGAAAACAATTGTGTGCAAATCATGACTATGCAGCGACAAAACGAATGAAACTTCGTTTGACTTCAGTCCAAGGCTTTGTGTGCTTTGTCAGGTTTTCCTAAAACATCAGGACTGGCTTGCCAGTACATAGCTGGCTGCCAACCTGAGGGCTGGCTGACCAGTTTGACAGCTGACCGCCACATCAACCGGCTACCAATTTGCAAAGATTGGGTGGCCAGTTGCTGGCCTGCCAGTTCCTGAAACTGGCTGCCGAATGACTGGTTGCCAAATCGCTGGGCGTTGGATGGCCAGTTGTGGGTGTGCCAGTTCCTTCTGGGAGCTGGCTGCCACATAGCTGGCTGCCAATCCAGCGAATTGGATTGCCAGTTGTTGGTGCCAGTTTTGGGAGCTGGCTGCCACGCAACTGGCTGCCAATCTAGCTTATTGGAGTGCCAGTTGGAGGTGTGCCAGTTTGAAAGCTGGTTGCCATGCTGTTTTTGTTTGTTACTTGACAACTGTTATCCCGCCTTTTGCTCAGGAGTTTTGGTTCAATCATGTGATCAATCGTTTCAGGCCCCAGGATATTCACATCACTTCATAGCCAAACGGATGTTGACTTTTTTAAACTTTAAACCAAGACATTGATGATGTCGTGTTCAGTTCACTTTTGCTTCGCATCTCTTGCAAGATGGAAATTGAAACAGTTTCCATCAATGATGATGGCAGCCAAACTCTGAGTGTGCCTTCTCCAGTGCAGACAGAGCCAGGAGCAAGTGACAAAGATGCAAGTCGCGATGACGACGATGTATCCCTTCCTGAATCTGTCAACAGTGAGATTGAGAATGACATGACATCCTGCTGCAAACAACAGTGCGCCACAAAATTTCAAAAAGAAGAGATCCAGACCTACAAAATGCAATGGGAGGAAGGCAACCCGGACAGAAAACAGATCCAAGATCGCAAATTTGAATGCCTCAAGCAAATGTTCCAAAAGAATGATGAAGAGTCGCAAAAGAAAGGGATCCAATGGTCTTTCAAAGATCAAAAAGTTTGCCGCAGGTTTTGGCAAACGGTGCATTCCATGAGTTCAAGCAAAGTGGACAAATGGTTGAAACTTTGCAGAAATGGGCAATTGACATTGCCAAAGCCAAGTCCTAGGGCTCCCAAACCAGAGCCCACAACGGACCGTGTCGGCTTGTGGTTTCTGGATGTTTACTGCAACGTTGCCGAGCCCCTAGCTGTGGAGGGCTCTGAAGACCGAATGCCTTCATACAGTGAACCCAAAATGGTGCAGCAACATGAGACCGTGGATGACACTTCACATCCACTGATGTCTTTGTCCTTTCTAGCAGGCGCGGGGAGAAATGAGGAGCGAATTGCTGGGAAGCGCTTTGTGAATTGTTCCACCCTCTTGGAGTTTTATCGTTTTTACAAGGCAGATGTTGGTGAAGCAATGGCTGTGTCCAGAAGCACTTTTGATCGTTGCTATGGTCGAAGCTGGCACAAGTTTCTGGTCCTCAGATCTCCTTCTGGGGGGAACAAGTGCACAATTTGCCTCCGCCTTGAGGAGGAGCGGTGCAACGCCAGCACTGAAACAGAAAGGCTTGAAATAGATATGCAGAAACAGGCCCATTTGGATATCACAAAGAAAGACAGGGCAGTCAACACTCGTGGAAACATCAAAGGTTCTGAGCTTGCCAATTTCCAGCCAAGCACCCGCCGCCAAGGATTTATCAAGATAATGTTGGATGGCATGGACCAGCAAAAGTTTTCTATGCCTAGAGCAAAGCGATTAAATGGCACAGCGGAATATGGCAAAAGCTGGAAAAGTAACGTGCGCGTGGTAGGAGCAATCGTTTGGGGGATTGCTGAGATCTATTTTTTGTTGCCCATGGATATCCCCAAGGACTCATCCATGGAATGCACACTTCTCAGCCGTGCCTTGGATTTGGCCAGAGATTTTCTCAAAGACATGTCCCCAGACTTTGATTTGCCATCTTCTCTCGTGGTGGCCATTGACAACACCCCTCGCGAAGGAAAAATGCAATCTTTGCAGGATGGATGGCATATTTGACCAGCAAAATGTTTTCATTTTGCGAGGTGCAATTTATGCAAGTCTCCCATACGCATAATGAATTGGACCAGAGATTCTCTTCAATGGCCAGTGTGGTGAAAAGGGCCGAGTCACTTCAGAGTTTGGAAGACCTCAAAAGTCACCTCGAGCAGCACATGGTGCCCTCAGCTGGTCGCCGAATGCACGTAGAGATTGTCCATAACACCTGGAACTTCAAGCAATGGTTGGCTTTGGGAACCGAGAGCGAAATTTCTGGCCTTGTTTCTACAAAGAAAGAAGGGGCCAATCACCTGTGGCGATTTTGCCGCCGAGACTTGTTGACAGACGCAAGGCCAGTGGAATGTGAACACGCAAGGTGGCAAAACCATCCTTCAGATCCAGATGACGTTTGCGTCACTTTCAAGCAATTCATGTCAGACAGGGATATTTCACAAGCGCCACAGTTGATCATGCCCACTCATGTGTGGCAAGGCTTCAAGAAATCAGAGTTGACCCCTATGCACCGCAACCCTCTTGGACCTACCACCTTGGCTGAGTTTCGAAAGACAGCCAAATTTGTGGGAAGCAACCCTTGGAATCTGTTGGAGGCCCAATCTTTTTTGGAGAAATTTTGCGATGACAATGAGAATGACACAGTGGATGCGCCTCCAGACCTTGTCTGGGTTTTCTCCCAAGAAGCTGACTTGGGACACCGTGTTCAGCAGATTGAGCCACTAACATTTGAAGAGGTGCCATTGCCTGAAGAAGCGCCGCCCAGAAAAATCAGAGTGAAAGCAAAGGCAAAAACCACAGTCGTGGTCAAAAGGCCAGCTGCTGCTGTTTTTTCTCGTCCAGCTGCAGCTGCAGTTCCTAGCCTAGAAGCAACAGCGGCCGATGAAGTACATGGACCAGCTTCCGCCAAGAAAATCAAAAGACCTGCTGCTTCCACAGAAGTTTTGGCTGCTTCAAGCGCAGCAGGTTTGGAGGAAGGACCTGTGGCTGCTGCAAGTTTCGAACCCCCGGCTGCAAATGCAGAGGACATCGGTGAAGATCATGGTTCTGCGCAGCCTTCCAGCCCTTTGTTGGACAGTGTGGAAGCCATCAAGGGACGGCCAGGGTTTCTTTATTTTGGATGCTCAAAATGCAGAAAGAAACAGACTGCCAAGATTGGATGCAAAATGTGCCGCGCAAAAGGAGACAATCGTGCTGAAGGCTTCCGGAGATCTACCCAAGGTTGGGTCTATCGAATTGGTGAAGATGTTGAGTGACCAACTCATGCCGCCGTGTCACATTGCAAAGCAATGCTGTCACTTTCACACATGGTATCACCGCCACTTTCTGTGAGGAAAAGGTCATATTTAGCTATTCGCTGGTCTGTTTTGACACCACCAGGTCACTAAACGTTTCTTGCTTTCAACATTTGACAAGATATTCCAGGACCAGTTTGCGCAAAGTTTTTCACAAATGCAGTTTTTGTGCACTTTTTTTGCCCAAGCCAATGAATGAACTGAAGCATTCAGGCCATCCTTGGTCAGGTTTCCATTTCCAACTTGCGAGCTTGGTGGACCAAGACAATCATCAGTTCATGATATCGGATTTGGTCATATTTTTTTGGGGGGTCGGAAAGTTTGAGAACTTGGATTGGGTAGCAGTGTCATTCATTCGGGGCAAAGCACTGGGCCATGGCCTGGGTGGTGTGGTGATGCCCACTTCCAGCACACCATCGTTGCCATCTGATGTTGGCTCCGAATGTGAAGAGGTGAGTTTGCCATCGCCTGTGGGGTCTGGTGAGTTTTCATTAGATGGCCCGGCTATGACAGATTCTGGCCAAACACCTGTTTTGCCTTCAGATTCGCATTCTGTTTCTGAAGTCTCTTGCCCGTCACCAGTTGACTCAGACTCCGATGTGAACATGGCTCCTGATACACGAAAAGTTCCTGGACCACCAGAAGTGAAACATTGGCTTGCAAACCTCTCCATAGAAGAACGCCAAGAAAAAAGAGGCATGGAACTATATTCGGTTCCACGGGTATTGGGTGGAGAACAATGTGCTCCCAACACTTTTTGTTTGAGCTTAGATATTTTGAATGGCTGGGACTTTGATTTCGTTGCGGTCCAGGCATTGTCCAAAGACTTGCTCTCAAAGCTAATGATTGTCTTTCTGTGCCTGAGCCCTCCATGCACCATGTTTTCAGAGCTGCAGCGGCTGTTCAACTACAAACGGATGAGCCGCGAAGTTTGGACACGAAGGTGGAACCAAGCTGTTGGCTACATCGACCATTCTATGGCTTGTGCAAGAATACAGATCCAAAAGAAACGGAAATTCATGTATGAGCATCCATGGCGGGCTGCTTCTTGTGAGTTGCCAAGTGTTCGTGCAATCCAAGACCATCCACAAGTGCACACTGTAACCTTCGATATGTGCACAGTGGGCATGAAATCTCCAGCTGGCCTTCCTGTACGCAAAAGGACAACAATTCTCACGAATTGCTGGGTTTTGGCAGAGAAATTGAAACTACGCCAGTGCCCCAAAAATCACGAACACAGACCCATTGAAGGCTCTGAGCGCGGGCACTCAATGAGCAAATGGCGCCAAACTTACCCGCCTGGGTTGGTACAGTTGCTTCGTGAGTCTTTAGCTTTGGCTTAAAGCCAAACTATGACAGACTGCAAACAGTAAGATGGCGGTTGCTTGTTTTGGCTAGGGCAGAGTGTAACAAGGGAGAACTAGACTAGAGTTAGACTTTGCAAACCCTAAACCCTAAACGTTACACCAAAAATTTCGCGAGAGTTTTGTTTGCTTTCAAGGTGGCTCCAGCCTAACACCACACTGCAGAACTGCCAAGCCGAGATAGCCAGGTTTCAAATGAAATCAGCCTAAGTCGCCAGCATGTTAGACAACCAGCCCAAAAGAGCAGCGGGAAAATGGAGGCCTGGATGACCTCACTTGAGGGTGGATTTGGGCAGATAGCCAGATTTCAAATGAAATCAGCCGATCTCAACGA